TTCATGCGGATTGCGGATTGCGGATTGCGGATTGCGGATTCGTAATAGAGATTGCGAATTGCGAATGCGAAGGGGATCATTCCTAGCTCAAGCTTCAAGCTTCAAGCTTCAAGCTTCCAAGTCAAAGCTCTTGGTTCTTGGTTCTTGGCTCTTGGCTCACGTTAGAATTTAACTCGGAGCTTCTTATTTTTCTTGGCCAGCGGGACGATTATGTCAGGAGTATGTGATGAGTGAGGATGAGGCTGTGCGTGGAGCGGGTTTAGGGCTTTCATTGTACCCCAGCACCCATCGATACTGCTGCATACCAAGGTTGCTCAGATATGGGAATAAGCACATGGAGATGCCCGAACAACAAGCGGATGCACAAACACATGTACCACTGCATGGAATCTGGTAGGGGGAGGGGGCGCGCCCGGGGGTGTTGTTTACCTTGAAGATTGTGCACAGGAAGTAGTACATAAGGTGGTTACCCTAGGTAGCACCCGGGCATTGCCATCCCATTCATGTATGGAAAAGGACAGGTATTGCCCAAATCTACACAATGTACATCGAGTACACAACGCAAGGGGCAACGAAGGCTACCCGGCTGCACATCAAGTTCTTTTCTATTTCAATCTGATTAGTTAAGACTCACACTGAAATACCTAGATAACTCGCCTAAATTCTAGTAACTCTCGAGCTAGTACGATTTTTTGGCCAATCCAAACTCATCGCCATCGTACGATCAACAGCTATGGAGTAGTTAGTGAATCAGATAAATCGACAACAACGGGCCAATCCCACACTCCATCTGCCTCCCCATGCTGGGCCAACACAAGGCCCAAGGGTCTTGGGAGCCCCTGCTTGAGCCTACGCTCTGGACGCTGACGATGGCAAGGGGAATTACCATTTTAGCCCTCCACACCCTTCCACCCAAACCATGGGTCAACGACTCGCCAGCCGCCGCCGGAACATGGGGCAGCGATGACGAGGAGCAAATTATGTTAATTTAGCAGCGTATGTTCATTTCAGAAGTAGTTAGTGGTGGTGGTGGTGTGTGGTCGTCGTAATAGTCAATAACATTGACTCATAGCAATAGTCGTAGTGCTAATACTGATATTATATTTCACGAAGAAGTGCCAAATCCCCCATTCACGAGAGTAATCGAGACGCAAGTGATAATACATACATCATGGCGTCTGCCTGTTTTCCAAGCAAACCATCATCTTCCATCGCCCTCTCCGCAATCTCGGTCGACGGTACGGCCTCGGTACGAAAACAACACTAATCAGCCTTTCCTCGCCGCAGACACATGCAAATTTAT